TATATACCTAGTATTAATAGGCCCAGTGGCTGGTAGACTTGTAGTGATGAAGTACCTTTAAACTGCCCATATTGCTATTTGTTGAAGTATATAAAGATATCAGTTATAGTGATAGCTGTGTTCCAGGTGGGATTGATGCGACAGAGAAAACTTTTGGCTGAATCCAGTCCTGAACATCTTCTCATTACACACAGAATGGAGGTCAGTATAAGGACACAAGGCACTGGGAGTTGACCATTAGATTTGGTATGATCTTGTAAAATGAATGTCTCAAAGTAGAACAATTGTTTAAATGGTGGAAACAGTTGTTTAATATTGTTTTCCTTTATCTGTAGATTTAATCTTTGGACTAGTTCATTTTGGCCCATGCTGTTCTGAGTGACCAGAGGGTTGACCATACAGGCTATATATAGTTTAAACAAGCTAAAACCAACAACAAGATTCTCTTTTTGTAAAGTTTGTATTTTGTTGCTGTTCTAGACTCTGAAAGGTGTGTTTCTGTTGTTGTTCTAGACTCTGGAAGATGTGTTTCTCAAGCTTTGCCAGCAAGACAGCACTCTGGCAGATACAGCAGAACCTGGTGTTACTACAGATGGCTTACTGCTGAACACCACAGACAACACTGTGTACACTGACGACAGCTTGGTCTTTCAGGTAACTGACCAGTATAACTGGGCAACACACTAGGGCATTTTAGTTTTATTTCATTTTTAGTAGATTTGAATGTACAATCTCATGTTGTATTCAAGTTATATTCCTGCAGAGTTTATTTTTATCTCTTGAAGTATGTTTGACTTTACTTATCAAATATATTTACAGAAGTTGCTTAGAAAATGGTTTTGTTTGAGAGTCATGTGGACAGTAGACAAATGTGCTTGCTGGTTCGACTAGAGTTATGTTGTTAGATTACAAAAATTTTGATGACTTAATCTTCAACACTTCCGTCTGTCTTCAGGGTGCTGAGACCAGTGCGTACAGTATAGAATTCCGTCACCATGGCGACAGAAGCCAGCTGTTGGAGGATAGCCAGCGTAGTTCAACTTCCAAACATTATAGACATTTACAGCCTGGCGAATTCTCCACCAATACACATTCCACTGGTAGGTACAGTATAACTGATATCATATCATTTACAACCTGGTGAAACAAATGATTTATGTGAATTAACAGCCTGTATATTTACCCTTCCAGACTTAGAGCACAGCAGGAAGTGTATATTAACAGCCTGTATATTTACCCTTCCAGACTTAGAGCACAGCAGTAAGTGTATATTAACAGCCTGTATATTTACCCTTCCAGACCTAGAGCACAGCAGTAAGTGTATATTAACTGTCTGTATATTTACCCTTCCAGACCTAGAGCACAGCAGTAAGTGTTGTACCAGGTGCTGGTCCTGGTTTTCTCTTCCTAAACCTACCAACATCTTAGCCCTGGTGATCAAGAACCTGATTATCATGAGCAGAAACCTTGGGTGAGTCCAGGAAGACATCTTCTTCAGATTGAACTTGTTGCTTGTCTAAAACATGACTATTTTAGGAATAAAGTAATTTTTCTTCAGTCAACAGCTTAATATTGACATAGTTTTTACATCCAATATTTTTATGTCTAGCATAATATCTTCATCAGGGAATGAGGCTGTCCAGGTGAATAGCCTCTTTTCAAGAATTATACCATTTTAGACTATTTTAGCAATCCTCCTTCACATCACTACTGTTATAAATGTGTCTTTCCAGGTTTCTATTCTTTGAGTTCATGCTACCTTCCATCCAGATTATTCTGTTCTGTCTGTGTATTGGTCCAGAGCCACGTGACCTCACCGTTGCCATAGTGAACCAAGACCAAGGCATGCTGGGAATGAACTGTGGGGCTATGGTCATAAATCACTTGAGTAATGAGACCTTTGCAAAGGTAGCTGATTCAGAAATAATAACATGTCAAATAGTGATAAAGTCAGAAAATAATTGGCGTTTGTTGTGTTGTCAAAGCTTTATGGTGAAGTGTTTGAATTTGTTTTTAGGTGGTTATCAGTAAGATATCAAACAATCAAGATTTTAATACTGTAAATAACAGTAAAAAACAAAATTAATGGCAGAGCACGCTGACTTCACATTTTTCTAACATCATTGTAGCGTTATAACTGTAAATTCTGTGTCTTCTCTCCTCAGGTCAATTATAGTGATCTTACCTCTGCTTTGAACACTGTCAAGCAAGGAGATGCCTGGGGGGCAGTGTTTGTTGGCAAGAATTTCACTCAGGATCTTTTTCTTAGGTAATTGTTATAGTTTGCCAATGTTATGATTGTTCTAAGTTGACGTATCACGAGTAGATATGAAGTTACACACTTTCACAAACTTAGGTTGTGATAAATTATAAAAGTAATGTGTGTGTATCACATTGAAAAACAGGCTGTACATAAAGATGGGGTTAAATTGCCCATAGTAAAATGAAGACATTAGCACTTTGTTTCCCATGAAAAATGTAAAATAAACATTCTTATGTCTTGTTTTCCCAGAGTTAGTAATACCAGCAGTGTGGACAACAAAACAATAGATGGCAGCAGTGTCAAACTCTATCTGGATATGACAAGTAAGAGAGAATTTGGGGATGTAGACAGTTAAAACTGCAAATAACACTGCATATTTATTATTATATGTAGCATTTTTTACAGAATAAAGAAATATATTGAATCATCTGCCTGATGTTTGTCAGCTAAATGTTGAGGTGAAGTAGATGGTGGATAAAACACATTTTTTTGGTGTTTTCTATGAATGTCATATACGCAAGTATTGTGTGTTTAGACCAGCAGATAGCCCTGTCTATCACATCATATATATACTAGATTGTGTGTTTAGACCAGCAGATAGCCCTGTCTATCCAACAGGAGATCATGACAGGGTTCCAGGCGTTCACCACCGACATGTTGAGGAGTTTGGGGCTTAATGTTCATGCAGCAGACTTACCAGTGAAGGTTAGTTTTTGAGAGAGAGAGAGAGAGAGAGAGAGAGAGAAAGGGGGGAGGAAGAGAGAGGAGTTAAGATAGAGAGTAGAGAGTTTGGATGAAAGGGAGGGAGAGTGAGATAAAGGGTGAAAAAGATACAGAGAGAGGAACAGAGAGAGAGAGAGAGAGATGAATGGGAAAGAGGTGAATGGAGAGAGGGGGAGCGGCATGGCAGAGTGTGTGCCTGTGAATGGGAGAGAGACAGAGAGAAAGTTTGAGATGGTGTTATGTAAGAGTTCTTTTATGTGTGTGCTAAAAATAGTCTGATGAAGGAAATATGGTCAGTTTGAACAGTCATATATATTTCCAGTTGGAAGAACCAGTTTATGGTGACAGGAAGCCCTCCTTTACCAACTTCATGGCCCCTGGGATAATTATCAGGTAGCAGCTTTAATAGTTTAGAATAGAAGTAAAGATATGGAGGTTTATTTATATGTCTAAATCTTCATTTGTTTATTGGTACAAGATATGTATGTCAATAATCCTCATTACTTTTCTACTTATTATTTTATTATAATTATTATTGAGAGGCAGATAATTTAATGTTAAAAAGTTTCAAAGTATAGTTATCATAAATTTAAGTGGCTCTTCTCTAAATGTGTCTCATCTAACACACTAACACAATGTCACACCCAGCTGCTGTTATAGTGATAATACTTTTCCAGTATTACATTCTTCATGGCCTGTGGACTCACAGCTTTGGCATTTGTACTGGAAAGGAAGGAAGGACTGTTGGACAGGAGTCTGACAACAGGTATGCTCATTTTTGTTTGCATGTGTGTGCGTGTGTGTGTGTTTGTGGGTGCCTGTTAACTCACTTATGCAGGAATTTATATTTAGGAAGCCTGTTGATTATTTTAAAGTTGTTACTATTATTTCTAAAACATACAATAACTTCTGCCTTGCCACAATTTATCACAAATAGATATCACTTATAAATGGCTGTTTCAGTTGTAATATTTTATTGCCTGCTCTTTATGTGAATTAAAAAGTAAACGTAGCAGAGATCATGCTGTCACTGTCCACCAGCACACTCAGTGTCATGTTCTCTGTCTTCCACTGTCAGGAGTCAATGTGATGGAAGTGATGGTGGCTCATGT